ATTGTGAACTTCAACTCCTAAACTGCAATATGGTAAAGTAAAAATGCGAGAACTTAATCTAAATTCAACACCCAAACAGAAATTACAGGCTTAAATGTGCCATCTGAAACAAAAAGCACATTCAAACTTTTTGATATAAACCTTTTGTGAATACTCTGGAATCCAAACGAAAACTTACTAACTATAACAGAATCCCCTGATCCTGCCGAGGAGGAAGTCTGGATGTGGTCGGGGTGGTGATGCATGGGTTAGGGTGCATTCCATTACGAAAATAGATACAGGGTGGAGACCCACAATCTTTCCACTTCCACCTCATCAAGTCAGGGTAAGACGGTTCATTTACACTCTTCCACCCCAACACTAACTGAGGCCCTGACGTTAGCAATTAATGTCCATTCAATGGCCTCATCCACCACTGGCATTCAACCAGAGGCAGGCAGTCAAAGAATCAGCACATAAAAATAAACTCCTGTCAAGTCTGACTACAAGTTTTAGGAGCAAGAGGAAGGCAGCATTCCCTTCTATTAAAGACGCCCAGTGTCTGCCCAAAGGATCCACCATCAGGAATGAGGGTGGGTAGCTGAAAGTGGCACCTTGCCCTTTCATCAGATGCACCGTCTCCTCCCTCTCCCATGTGGCTCTCATGCACCTCTGGCCAGAGGTCCCTCATCAATCCTGGACTTCTGGTGGGCGCATGGTCAACAGTTGCCACTGTTTCTGACGTTGCCGACAGCAAGAGGGATCTGACACTCTCTGATTCCTTAATCCAGGTGAAGGCCTGACATTGGCCACCAAAAGGCTTAATTCCAGCAGACCCTCCCCAACAACGGTGTCTTTTATCAGTCAGTTACATCAAGGCGGTTTCAGTACAAGGAAGATGCATTTTCTGAGAAGATTCCACCTCTCTCCACTATGCACATCCAAAGGTCAAACTGTTGGCTTACAGTAGATTCATACATCAGCTTGCACTTCCTATACTATTTCATTCTTCATGTAACACAAGACTTGTAAGTAATACAGCTACATGCCTTGCAAACTGAACTCACATATGATTCCACAAACAGGCAAATACACTTGTTGCACTCTATACCAATAGTCAAGATGTTTCCTACAAATTTCTTGCAACTGTTTAGATTCCAATCTTTTCTAAGCAGCATACTGCAATTCTATTAGAGTGACAGAGCAATGACAATTGTTCTGATTTTGACAGTGTATGTGTAGGGCTGCCAAAGTCCAATATTACACAGAGGAATGAAGAAACATAAAACTAAACACATGAAATGGAAATTCGATGTTTGGAATATATCTTAAATTGGTTCAGATGTGGAGTCAAACCCACATTACCCTAAACTTTTGAGGTTCAAAACATAATGTTACAGTCATGATTGGGGACAATGAAAAGTAACGATAGGAAAGGTAATAAGATAGACAGAATGGATTATCTCTAAATAGTCAATTACTGTTTTTTGAAGGTGGAACATGCTGTTTAATTAATAAGCATTCAATATGGAAATAAATGATATGCAAACGTCATACATATCCCTGCATATCATAAAAGACTGTACAAATCAAAGCAATTGTATTCATAAGTAAACGTCACCTAAACGAGACAGTGTTTGTCAATCGATGCCCTTTCTCTATTCCAATGCTGCTTTAGCTGTTGTGGTGTTATTGCGTCAGTGGTGTAAATATTAAGGATTTACACTAAAGAATCATAGAGTTGTAAAGCACAGAAACAGACCCTTCGGTCCAACTCATCCATATCGATCAGATATCCTAAATTAATCTAGTCCCATTTGCAAGCATTTCTATTAGCCTTACAAACCATTCCTATTCATGCACCATCCAGCTGCCTTTTGAATGTTGTACCAGTGTCCACCACTTCCTCCGGCAGCTCATTCCAAACATGCACAGCCCTCTTTGTGAAAAAGTTGCCCCTTAGGTTCCTTTTATATCTTTCCCTCTCACCTTAAACCTATGCCGTCTAGTTTTGGACTCCCCTATTCTGGGAAAAAGACCTTGGCTACTCACTCTATCCATGCTCCACATGATTTTATAAACCTCAATAAGGTCACCCCTCAGTCTCCAATGCTTCAGGGAAAATAAACCCAGCCTATTCAGCTTCTCCCTATAGTTCAAACCCTCCATTCACGGCAACATCCTTGTAATTCTTTTTGGCACTCTTTCAAGTTTCACAACATCTTTCCTACAGCAGGGAGACCAGAACTGAATGCCGTATCCCAACAGCAGCCTAACCAATCCTGTACACCCACGACATGACACCCAACTTCTATATGCAATGCGCTGACCAATAAAGGCAAGCATATCAAATGCCTTTTTCACTACGTATAGGAAATTTGGGCTAGCATGTCGGGTTATCCCTGCTGGTAGGAAGATTTTGTGTCATACGCCATCTTTCATGTGTCCTTTCACCTTCAGCTTTCAGTAAAATCAAAAAGGTCCAATGAGCTGCACTATTCACACTCCACCCACTTATGCAACTAAACACTCAAGAAGGAAAACTAAAGAACAACAGTATACATGCTATTCATATTTATTTTTAAGTATCAAAAGCAATTCAGTTATTAACTAATCCTCTTGGTATGCAGTTTATTAAGCTGCTTAAGCCTCTCAATGAGTCTGTTGCTATTCATATCTACGTATTTTATTCTCCACATTTCTGACCCTAATCTTATTGTGAGAAATTCAAACCTGGACAGCTATTAAAGAAATATAGCAAGCCGTCTTTCAGGTATTCCATTATTCAAACAGATTAGCAACAACTCAGAAATAAATGGAATGTGTACAGGAGATCCTATAATCAGAGAATACGTATTTGGGTCATAACAGAGGTGGGAATGGACAGTGCAGTGGAGGAATCAATAACTGTCTAGAGTCAAAACAGCAGGGCAGGCACAGACATGAGAGTCGTAGCAGTGTTTGGAGGGGCTGGAGCACCAACTCCGTATTATGATGGGATAGCAGACACAAACTCAGGCTTTAAAGTCCTCGGATTGTTGTTTTGCCCACAGTGGATGGTACATACAGCCTCAATTATTTATTTAAAGAATGAACTTCAGAACAACACCATCCATTAACTGCAGAAGCTCACTGTAATTAATTCACAGCCCTCTATGAAAATGACATTGGAAAAACTGCAAAAGATACCATGTTGCTGTGATTATAAAACACTGATTCAAACAACAAGCTCACATATCAGATGAGCAAAGCCCAGCTACTTTGTAACTGCTATCCAAGCGCTTGAGAAAAGATTCCATTAATATCATTCTGTAATTGCCAATGCGTTGTTTCGGAATTTTTTTTCAAAGAATGCATGAGAGTTTGTGACAACTTGACTGTGAGTTTGACGGTCATGCCTTTGTTCTGTTTTGGAATAGTCGTTGGGTAACAACACAGATGGTAATGATGTAAGATAACAAGGTGTAGAGCTGGATGAGCACAGCAGGCCAAGCAGCATCAGAGGAGCAGGAAGGCTGACGTTTCGGGCCTAGACCCTTCTTCAGAACCTTCTTCTGAAGAAGGTTCTGAA